CTAAAACCTATCCATAATGGGTGATCATGCTAGCATTTGAAATTCTAGTGGCATAGTTTCCAGCATCATAGCAACACTGAAGCTACCACACTGGCAGATGAGTAGTGGTCAATATGGTTACAGTTTCATATGTTGTATATTTGATATATAGTTCTAAGGCATATTAAAAATAAAAAAAAAAAAAAAAACCACTGCTATCAAGTTAATTCTAACTCACAGTGACCCCCACTGGGTTTTCAAAGCTGTAAATCTTTACAGAAGTAAATTGCCCCATCTTCCTTCCACAGAGTAGCTGGTGGGTTTGAACTGCCAACCTTCTGGTTAACAGTCAAATACTTTAGGCACTGCACTGCTAGGTTATTTTTTAAAAAAAGGAAATGTAGAATTAACCATCACCATTAGGGGAGATAAGAAAAAGAAGAATGTGATCTTTTTGCTTGAAGGAAAAGATGCCATGTGGAGGAATACCAAGTGGAGAGAATTAAGCAGTGTTTAGTATCCCAAACATTCACTATGGTATTTGTTAAAATGAGTAAGAAATGCATCTTAATCTTGTTCTACATCTTTAGTCATTATCTATTTTATGCTGAAGTTATGCATGCAAATTTTCAAGGACAGCTATAAAGGTTTAAAAATAGAAAATAACTTCCTTCTAGTTCAAACTTGATTGTTTTAAATTGTCAGTCAGGCAAGAATGTGAGTGTTAAATAAGATCCGGAGCTTGCAATGTATTTTTTTTTTCCTCCCCAGGGAGATGAAAAAAAAAAAAAAAAAAAACCCACTATCTGCTAGTTTCAAGGAGAATTAATTGATTAACATTTTTAAAGGTCTTAGGTATAAAAACTCAGTGTTAAAAGAATAAATATATTCTCATGGGACTTATATAGAAGTAAAACAGTTTTTTTTAGTCTTGTTTTATTTTTTGAGATGATCAATAGGAAAACTAGTCTGTTGTCTACACATTTTTAAGTGACGTGCTTGAAGATGAACAGAGCTGTTATGAATAGAACTGTGTCCCCAAAAGCATACGTGTTGTAAATCTTAGCCTATTCCTATGGTTATCTGGGAATGGGTTGTCTTTATTCTGTCAATGGACAGGATTAATGTAGGGTGTATTTTTCATTGGTCTCTTTTGAGATATAAAGAAATTACAAGCAAAGTAGCAAGAAGAGATGGGGGAAGAGAGATGCCAAGCCACATGAAGTCTGTCCAAGAACAGAAGTTCAGAAGAGACAAAGACCTTTCTCTGGAGCTGAAAGAGATACAGACCCTTCCTCTAGAAGTGGCACCTTCAATTCAGACATCTAGCTTCCTAAACTGTGAGAAAGGAAATGTCTGTTTGTTAAAGCCACCCACTTGTAGTATTTCTCTTATAGTAGCACTAGATAACTAACACAAAATTTGATACCAGGAAAGGGCTACTGCTCTACCAGATACTAAAATATGGAAGCAGTTTTGAATTGGGTAATGGAGAGAGGCTGTAAGAATTTCAAGGAGCTCTAGTAGCATAGTGACTAAGGCACCTAACTGCTAACCAGAAGGCTGCTGGTTCAAACCCACCAGCCACTCCTTGGAAGGGAGGTTGGGCAATCTACTTCTGTAGTGATACCCCCTTGGAAACCCAAAGAGGGGTCACTATGAGTCGGATCCGACACCACGGTAGTGAGTTTGGTTTTTTTTGGTAATAGCTCTGGTGGCGTAGTGCCTAAGGCATTTGGCTGCTAAGCAGAAGGCTGGCGGTTCAAACCCACCACCCACTACTGGGAAGGAAGACTGGGCAATCTTCTTCCATAGTGATACTGCCTCAGAAACCCAAGAAGGGGTCGCTATGAGTCAGGACTGACTTGATGGGAGTGAATTTGGATTTTTGGTTTTTGGAATAGTAAAAGCCTATATTGCTTTGAAGAGACAGTTGGTATAATTATAGACATCAATAGCAATTCTGATGAGGGCTCAGAAAGAAGTTAGTAAAACTATAGAAAAAGTCTCTATTATCTTAGAGAATACACATGGTATTCTCTTAAATGTGGACCGTAAATATGCTTCTGGGAAGTTTTAAAAGAAAATGAACATGTGATTGGGCAAAGGGAGAAGGATGATTCTTTTATCCAGTGGCAAAGAACTGTTAAAATGTTTGGTGGAAGGTAGAACTTGTAAGTGATAAGCTTGGATATCTAGCTGATGAGATTGCTAAGCAAGGTCTTGTAGGGGCTGTGTGGCTTCTCCTTGCCACTTATAATAAAATGTGAGAGGAAAGAGGTGGACTTAAAATTGAACTGCGCAAAATGAAAAGAAAACTTAAAGTTTGGAAAACTCTGTTATGCAAACTGAGGACACATGTCCTAGAATTTTCACCAAAGGTGTGGCTAAAGAAATGTTTGTTAAAGAGATTAGCCTGTGACTGATGGATCTAACCAAGTACCACAGCAGAGAACATCAGTTTATACTAAAGGGAACAGAGAAAGAACCAAGGGGGGAGAACACTGTCTGCGTCTTCAAATTCGACAGGCAGGAAACAAGACAGTGGAACTAAGGAGCTACATCTGTTGTCCTCCAAGAGAAGAATAGAACCATCCTTGGCGCTGCTCAGAGATCAGTAGAACTGTTGGGAAGAGCACAAGAAGCTGGACCTTCCTGGTTTCAAAAGGTGGGACCACTGTCTTCTAGGTTTTAAAGAGTCAGATCTTCAGATCCATAGGGTGGCACTGCCATTAAGATGTGCCAGAGGGACACTGTTGGCACTCAAAATTGAGTAGTGTGGCTGGCATGCCCAAGGGACAGAAAAATGGGGCCTGTGTGGGATGAGGGAGTGAGATCACCAATCAGATTGACTAGGAGAATGGGGCTGCCCAAACGTGAGGGAGTTTGCCATTTCAGTGGGCCTAGAAGGTGGAAATGAAGCCCAGAGCTGAGGGAACTCCATCCAGAATTGAGAGGGTCAGCCAACACCCAGAGTTTGGAGGGAGAGACCTCACCCAGATGGTCACAGAAAACAAGGATTATTTTCAAGCCTTAAGAGCTAATGTAATTTGTTCTGCTGGATTTTGGATTTGCATAGTGCCTGTTATCCCTTCTTTTCCTCCAATATATCCCATTTGTAGTAGAAATGTCTACCTAGTGCCTGTTTTCATCATTGCACTTTGGAAACAGACAACTTGTATTCTATATATGACAGGTTCACAGATGAAGACAAATTTTGTCACAGAATGGAATACCCCTGAACTCTCACTCATATTTGATTTAGATGATTCATAAGATAAGATTTTTAACTGAGTGGATTTAAGAATTTTGGGATGATGTGATGTGGTGGTGGATGTGTTTTTCATGTGGAAAGGGCATGAATCTTTAGAGGCAAAAGTGCAGAATGTTTTGGATTGAATTATGTCCCAAAAATATATGGTGTGGAAGACATTCCTACCTATCTGTGCCAGTTTCCTTCTCACTGATATGAACAGGTAGTTAATTGGTTGTAAATCCTAACCTCTATGCCTGTAGTAGAGGAGCTCTGGTAGCGTAGTGCTTAAGGCACTTGACTGCTAACCAGAAGGCTGGTGATTCAAATCCACCAGCCACTCCTCAGAAGGAAAGTTGGGGCAATCTACTTCTGTAGTGATACTGCCTCAGAAACCCAAGAAAGGGTTACTATGAGTCGAGTCCTACTTGATGGCACATAACAACAACTACATGCCTCTTGTTATAAACCCATTTGGGTATGGGTTGTCTTTGTTATGTTATTGAGGCAGGATTAGTGTGGGGTGTATCTTGAGTCACTCTCTTTTAAGATGAGAAAGAGATTGCACAAATGAGCAGTGGAGAGATAGGGTAATATAGATGGGAAGATACGCGGAGATCGTCACCAAGGAACCAGGAAGCAGAAGCTGCAGAGATGAGGAAGCTCCAGAGCCTACAGAGAGAAAACGCCTTCCTCTAGAGCCAGCACTCTGAGTGCAGACTGTTAGCCTCCTTAACTGTGAGAAAATAAATTTCTGCTTGTTAAAGCCATTCACCTGCATTACTTCTGTTATAGCAGCACTAGATAGCTAAGAGAAAAACTCAACTTATTGTTCAGTTCTTCAAAGGTTTAATGATAGATTTTTATATTGCAACATTTCAAAGAGCATATTTGGCCCATTTTAATAAAGGATACAAACAAAACCCAAAAATCCAGGGATAAATTTCATTATGCTCTTTATGAGCCTCAATATCAAGATAATTCAAGGCTGACATTTTAATTAATTAAATCTTATTTTTTAAAAAAACATATAGTCAACTTTTAAGCTAGCAAAATTTTTTGCAAATCATATATTTTATCTAATTAATGAATGTTCAGATAAATACCACATTTTCTACAAGTTAAATATAAAAAATAAAATAGCAATTAGTTGACTCCGAGGCCTAAGTCTAAGTTAGGTTTTATTTGCATTTAAGATATAACGGACACAAAGCTCTAAAAGTTATGCCCATATTGGTCATTACTACTTCCAAGGCAATAGACCACTACTCTGACTCATTTATGTACAATTGTATCCTATGCATTTTCCTCTAGAATAGTTACGGGTGTCAAATATAAATAGCTCTTGATTATTTTGTTAAAAACTTAAGCTTTATTTTATAAAGTACTTTTCTTTGTGATCATGATAGCTATCTTTCCCCAATAAAAAAAATCAGATGCTATTATTTTCCTACATAAAATAATTATTTTTCTTTTATTAAAGTGCCATTGGAAGTTCAAGGAAAGATGTGATCCACCTATTAACAAATACTACAAATGCAAGGACAAACCAAAACAGCCACTTTCGTTAAAGCTCATAAGTTATAAATTATTTTAATAAAAATTTATTTTTGTGTAGATTGATGTTCTGCCACCATCATGGAAGACATCAACCTCCTCACAATAGACCATTGTGCTCGAAATACCTGGAAAAGCATTCCAGAGTTAAACTTGGCATATTCATGTGCATGTGTTTGGTTTACTTTCCCTTTTTCTCTGTTTTCTCCAGTACAGTGCTCTTAATCCACGAGAATCTTGGGACATGTGGCATCCCACTCTGGTGGCCGAGGCATTATTTGCTATTGCAAACATCTTCAGCTCTCTGCGCCTGATCTCATTGTTTACTGCGAATTCTCACCTGGGACCTCTGCAAATATCTCTAGGAAGAATGCTCCTTGATATTTTGAAGTTTCTATTCATATATTGCCTTGTCTTGCTAGCCTTTGCAAATGGCCTAAATCAATTGTACTTCTATTATGAAGAAACAAAAGGGTTAAGCTGCAAAGGCATACGATGTGAAAAGCAGAATAATGCATTTTCAACGTAAGTCAAATAGCCATTTTTATTGGTAATTGTACAAAATTTAGAGTACATCACCTTATAAATTTAAAAAATTCCTGACAAGTGGTTGGAAGGAATATAAAATTAAAACGATGCTTAATGTGGAAGAAATTAACATGGTGTTGAATATAAATGAATCCTTTTGACATTAAAAAGTATTCAGTATATTTAAGTTTTAGTTAAATGGTCTTTTGTTTCAAATGATCTCATAAAAAGGAAAGTGATATACACTCTTCAAATTTGGAATAAAAAGAAGATTATGTTGACAACTTAAAACCAAAATAATACAAATTGCAGCTGAGTTGACTCAGACTCATGGTGACCACATGGATGTCAGAGGGCTTTCACTGGCTGAGTTTTTGGAAACAGATTGCCAGATGTTTCTTCTGAGACTACTGTTTCATTCAAATGCTAACCTTTGGTTAGCATTGAACCATGTTGTATTTGCACCACCCAAGGACTCCACTGATAAAAGTGCATTAAAAGATAGAATATATGTAAAACTGGTCATATAAGAAAATATAAATGGCCTCTAATCTTCTCTCATGTGTTTTCTAGGTACTAATATCACAAGACTGGACATTGTTTCTTTTTGTTGTACATAGGGTGGCTATGAGTTGAAACTGACTCAATGGCACTTAACAACAAGAAGTTCACTTCATGTGTCTCTTACACTCACCTACAAATAATAGTAACAGCTAAGAAAATTAAAAAAAAAAAACAGAAACTCAAAACTAATCTAGCCATTATTATTATGCACTCTCTCTCGCCTGACATCTGGATGAGCAATAGCCTACATCCACTTCTACCTTCTGATAACTCTCATAATGAGGTTTGCTGGCAGCACAAGCCCATGGGCATCACATTTGCTGCTCACTCAGCCCTCATGGAAGACACCAGTGCATATCTGTGCCAGTTTTCTTCCCACTGTGATAAACAGGCAGTTAGTTGGCAGATAAGATCCCCTGGGTGTGGCAAACCATTAAACACTTGGCTGCTAACCCAAAGGTTGGCAGTTTGAATCTACCTAGAGATGGTTTGGAGAAAATGACTGGGGATCTACATTCAAAAAAGCAGCCTTTGGAAACCCTATGTAGCACAGTTCTATTCTGATACATAAGAGGTTACATGAGTCAAAATTTATTTTACAGTAACTTAGTTTGTGTGTTTGGTTTAATGGTTGTTGTTATATACCATCGAGTTGGACCTGACTTGTAACAACCACTCATTGGGTTTCTGAGGTGGTATCACTATGGAAGTAGATTGCCCAAACTTTCTTCCTAGGAGTGGGTGGTGGTTTGAACCACCAACCTTCTGGTTAGTAGTCTAGTGGCTTAGACATGAATAAAGACATTGGGTGATTTTCCTGCATATAGTGACCACAATGTGAAAATACGATTATTTTGTAGGTGCCTTTAATAGTCAGACTTCAATTGTGGGCCATCACAGAATGTTATGTAATATAAGAAAACCAGAAAAACAAACCCACTGCCATCGAGTTGATTCCAACTCATAGCAACGGTTTAGGACAGAGTAGAAGTCCACTATAGGGATTTCAAGGCTGTAAATCTTTATGGAAGCAGATTGCCTCATCTTTTTCCCATGGAAAGCTGGTGGGTTTGAACTGCGACCTTTTGGTTAGTAGCCAAATGCTTTAACCACTGCACCAGAGCTACATAAGACAGTACAGTAATTCCTCAAGTAGGAGGAAATCAATAATTTCACATAAACTCAACCACTTATGGTGAAAATTCTCTTGTTGATTTAATTTAGTATCTTTTTTTATTTTTGACCCCAATGGTATAAGCACACTTTAATTAATCAACATCTGTTTTTATATGCATAAAATTTTAATCTCAGCCTTAGCTTCCTCAATTCCCTTCAAAAATATATTTGATACAAACCATGAATTATAAAGAAAACAATTCCTTCCAGTTTTCCCGTGTCATTTCATTCTCTTTTTCCCACATTTTCATCCTTCTTACCTTAAGTAGATGTTCTGTAGTGCACACAGTTTTCTCAGCCTTGTCATCTTCCTGCTCTTGTCTGACTCTGGGTGGAAGGGATTGAAGGAGACTCCTTGCAGCAAGATCCTTTGACTAGCTTGGCTCGGAGTGTGCCTCCCTTCTGATATCCAAAATTCTATATTTCCTCCCTCTTTTGTGGTCTTTCCAAACCAAAAAAAAAAAAACCCACTACCATAGAGTCAATTCTAACTTATAGCAACCCCTATTGGGTTTCCAAGGTGGTAAATCTTTACAGAAGTAGATTGACTCATCTTCCTTCCATGGAGCGACTGGTGGGTTTGAACTGTCAAGATTCTAGGTAGCAGTCAAATGCGTTAGCCACTGCTCCATTAAAGTGGGTAATTTGCCTGGGACAAATAGGACAAGGGACTTATAGTGGTCCAATCACACCAGTGTCACACTTCATTCCAGAATACTGTCTCTAACAAAACCAAAAAGCAGTTATTATTGAGTCAATTCCAACTCACTGCAATCCCATGTGTCAGAGTAGAACATTACTCTGTAGGAATTTTGTCAATGGCTTGTTTTTGAAATTAGACTGGCAAGTTTTTCTTTCAAGATGCCTCTGGGTAGATTTGAACTGCCAACCTTTCAATTAGCAGCCAAGTACTTTTTTTAACTTATTAACTTATTACATCATCCGCCTGTCTCCTGTTGTTGTTGTTGTTATTTGCCATTGAGTTGGACCGACTCATAGAGACCCCTCCTTGAGTTTCTGAGGCAGTATCACTACGGAAGGAGATTGCCCAACCTTCCTTCGGAGGAGTGGCTGGTGGATTTGAACCCCCAGCCTTCTGGTTAGCAGTCAAGTGCCTTAGGCAGTATGCTACCAGAGCTCCTACCTGCCTCCTACACTCCTTAATTTCTGATGAGTCCTTTTGTACGCTTTGTCTTGTTTTTTTGTTTTGGGTCCCCTGAGGCAAACTTCTTGTAAAGACCACCTCATCTATGTCTGTTGCAATATCTTTCTGATAGTAGACTGTCTTCTAGAAAGAACTTTCACATAACACCCCAAGTATCTCTTTAGCTCAGGGAATACATCTACTTCCAAAACTCAAGCTCATCTCAGCTATCTCATTCCTCTACAAGTAAGGAGGTTGCACTTAACCTTTTCCTGGATTGTAATCCCCTAAGATTCCCAGTAATCCTCTTAACCTATTATTGGTTTCTTGATAAATTACTATATATTAAAAACTAATTTTAATATCAGTCCAAGATAAGTATGGCTAAAGAAGTCTGAGAAAAAAAATCTAATACAAATTGTATTCCAAAGCCAATATATTGAATTGCTTGAACTATTTACCATTTTTGCTTTATCCATACCAATGGCTTTCTCTATTAATAGGAAAAGCAGCAGATAATTGTGTATCTCAGATATCATGGGCCAAATCATCCAACTCAAACAAATCAGGTGTTCTATGTAAATTGTTTTTTTCAGATAACTGAATATAAACCTGTAATCCACAAATTATTTTTGCACAAAACTATTCCAAAATTTAAAGTACACCAATAATCCCTTGTATTATTAAATAGAATGTACTGGACATGAGTTTACTCTCCCTGGATGTCCCTGTTTCAGCATGATGGACATAAATCACTGTGAGAGCATATATAGTGATATCCTAGAGGTTCCTGCTCTTTAACAAAAGACATAATGGTCTTTAATTATCTTCTTATGATTCTGTATCTTCCATAAATTTTAGACTATTTACTTTTACCACCCATTGTCTCAAACATTTTATTCTTTTTGAGAATTAAAATACATAATAATTCATGTAAAGTATCTAATGCAAACACTGCCATAACAAGTGGTTAAAAATATTAGCTACTTCTCTTCTTTGGGGAGCTCTGGTGGCATAGTGCCTAAGGCATTTGACTGCTAACCAGAAGGCTGGCAATTCAAACCCACCAGCCACTCTTAGGAAGAAAGTTTGGGCAATCTACTTCCATAGTGATACTGCCTTGGAACACAAGGAGGGGTCACTATAAGTCAGATTTGACTCAAGAGCAGTGAGTTTGGTTTTTTGGTTTGGTTCTCTTCTTAGTGCTATTATTATTATTATTAATAGAATATTGTTTCCCATCTATGTCTCAAACAGTTCCCTCTCTATTACTAGTTCCATTTATGGTACAAAAGTGTGCTAGAATTTTCTTCCCTGTCTTCCGCACTAGCTACTAGTCCTATCTTTCACCCTCTTTTCAGCCAAGTAACTTTAAAAAGAAGCCTGTATAAAATATCTTGTTTTATCATCTCACATTCTTTGTACATTCAGTTGCAACTTGGCTTCTGCCTTCATAGCTCTACTGAATTGCTCTAGAAAATGTTATTTAGAGTCTCAATGTTGCCACTGCCAATAGATATTTAGCTATTTATATCTTTCTCAACTGTCTGCTTCATTTGACCTTCTTTAACACTTCCACTTTTTATGCCCTATGCTTTAACTCATATATCACTGCATTCTCCCATTTCACATCTTGTTCTCTAACTTTTCTCCAAAAAAAAAAATATATATTTTAATCACTGCTCTTTAAATAATGGTCTGCCTTAGCATACTCTCCTCAGATACTCTTCACAACATCCATAGGAAAACATACATATTCTTATGGATTTTTCCCTATGTGTATAAGAGAAGACTTCCATTTGTATACAACTAGCACAGATCTATCTTCCACAGACCTCCATGTCCTCACTGTCTTTTAGACATTCCTCCATTCATAGCTCATAAGGACTTAAACTCAATCAAAGAGAACTTTGTCAAACATCTTCCTCAACTCCTTTTCTCAATGTGATCACAAACCACTCAGTTACTTAAATCAGAAACTTATGTTTTATACTACATTCTTCCCTGCTGTACCTCCATGTACAATTTATTCAATAAATTTCTACTCCGACTTTTCATTGTCCAGCAAATGGATACTTCCTTCCACACCTTCCATGTTTTCAAGTTATTTGCT